TTTCAGGTATCTGCTGGGAAGAATCCCATGGGAGATTGTCCTGAAGAGAAGAGGATACCAGAAGATCAATTGCTTTTGAGGGATCACCTCCTCCACACTAAAGTTTGGTTCATCCCAACGAGCTGGAAATCAAGCAAAGTCAGCAAGAGGCTGGCATAGATGAGCAAAGAGCTCCTGACAAAACTCAAACGTAAGAAGGAAGCATGTAAGAGGTGGAAGCAGCAACAACTGACCTGGCAATAATATGAAGATGCTGTCCAAGAATGCATGGATGGGGTTATGGAAGCCAAAGCCCACCTGAAGTTGATTCTGGAGAGTGATGTGAAAGGCAAGAAGAAGATCTTATCTAGGTACATCAACAACAAAAGGAATATGAGGGAAAATGTTGGCATGCTGCTGAAGAGACTTGGTGACCGAGGAGATGGAAGAGGCTGAGGTACTGAATGCCTTTCTTGCCTCAGTATTTACTGGTAAGATGTGCCTTCAGGAATCTCAAGTTCCTGAGAGACTGGTGGTCTAGAGAAAGACTGAGAAAGAAATTCTAGACTGAAGGTCTAGAGAAAGAAGGATTTACCCTAAGTAGAGGAGGATCAAGTTGGGGAACATTTAAACGAACTGGATGTACACAAGTTCACGGGACCTGATGGGATGCACCCATGAGTGCTGAGGGAGCTGGCCAATGTCACTGTGAGGCTACACTCAATAATCTTGAAAGGTCATGGCAACTGGGAGAGGTTCCTGATGACCAGAAAAAATCAAATGTCAATCCTGTCTTCAAGAAGGGCAAGAAGGAGGATTGGGGAACTACAGATCTTCCAGCCTCACCTCAGTCCCTAAAAAGGTGATGGAACAAATTATCCTGAAAACCATTTCCAAGCACATGAAGGACAGAAAGGCGATTGGGAGTAGTCATCTTGGATTTATGAAGAAAAGATATGCTTGACCAACCTGATAGCCTTCTACAGTGAGACTGACTGGTTCAGTGGATGAGGGGAGAACAGTAGATGATGTTTATCTTGATTTTGGTAAGGCTTTTGATAGTGTCTCCTCTAACATCCTCATAGAAAAATGGATGAAGTGTGGGCTATGTTAAGTGGACAGTGAAGTAGATTGAAAAATGGCTGAACTGTGAGGCCCAGAGGGTTCTCATCAAGAGCACAAAGTCCAGCTGGAGGCGAGTCATTAGTGCTATCTGGTAGGGGTCAATACCGGGGCCCATAGTGTTTAACATCTTCTTTAATGACCTGGATGATAGAATGTCACACTTTCAGTGACAGCACAAATCAGTAGTCCCTCCAGATGTCCATTTGCTGTCATGCAAGTTGTGTTCCAGATGTGTGATCATGAGCACATAACCCCATCCCTGCCTTCTCAACTCTTCCTGGGATACTTGTGAAGTCAAGCTCCAAAATTTAAGAAACTGAGTTCTTAAATGTTAGTAATTAGGAAAGCGGGGTTTTGTACAATCTCAGTTCTGCCCCATCACATGTATATGTGATGATGCAGTCTTTTGTTATATGAACATTATTCCTGCACAATTCTTCATTCAGTATGAAGGATGGGCAGGTCTCATATAGTAAGCAGCTGTTCAGTATATTCTGTCCTCATGATTACTCCATATGCAGAGCTATACATTTATCTACTGTCTATTACTAATTAAACCTTTCTTACAGGTTGTTTTATTTTTTAACTCGGGAACTTTTTTGCAGTCTTCATTTGTACATTGTCCAGAACCTACTTCATGGGAGAAGTCACATTAGAATCCAGGTCTCTGGGGCAGCTTTAACCATTCTAACATCGAGGTTAAGCTTAATCTCTATTGTTGCTTCCACTACCTGCAATAACAGTCAGAATCCCAAAGAAAACAGTCCTCGTTACACAGGTTCATAATTTTTCAGGACAAATGCAGCCTTTTCCCTAAATGACCCTGTGGGTGAAATTGCGTATCATCATAGAGATAAAGACTATACTCACAAGGACAGTTGTAGAGTACTATAGTACCATACTCATATGGAAAAATAAATCACAGCTGCACATCAGGCTTAATTATAGTATCTCCTAAGCCTTTTTGTTCTGCAGGGTATTTTCTCTGCAACAGATACCTGGATGATGACATCCCAGTAGGCAGCAATTTGTTTTTTATAGACCAACATGTTCTTGGGCCTGCAATTAGCTTCCTTTATGTAGCTCTCTGTACACTTCTTATGTATGTTTTACTTTCCACTTTCTTTAGGTTCCTTCCATTAGCTCTAGCAAGTGAATTACATGTTTAATAAGTCCTGCTGCAAACTATCTGCCACAGAATTGTATTTAAAGAAAAGAAAATGCACCTCTTCTCAGTGCAGAAAACTTATCTTCTGCAGTGTGTTCTGCACAAGTCAGTTTATGAACAGCACGGTTGCTTTTCAGATCAACCCCATTCTTCCTTCAAAGTTTCTCCACCAGCCTCACCACAGTCACAGCACAACTCCACTTCCAGAAGACTGGAACATGTGACCTTCCCATTCAGACAATACAGGTCATGTCTCCTGGCCATCCCATTGGGCTGGTGCTTGTTTCCAGGAGTAGCATTTTACATTTGGTTGCAGGAAGATGCTACCTGGCAGAGTTTCTTCTCCTGCTGGAGTAAGGACTTATTTTCTATTCTTTTTCTCATATAAAAATAGATGTAGTCTTTCTGGATTTATTGTAGTTCAGTTAAAGTGTCCTTCTGAGTGTAACAGGGTTTTGCTTGTTTCTTGAAAACTTTGAAACTTTCTTATGCATTAAGCTAGACTCTTTTCCTTCACAATTAAAAACAACACACAGAGAAACTATATAGGATTTAAGTGGTAATAGTTTAGCTTTATTTTATTTCAGCTGCTTGACGTATGCCCTTTACAGAGTAATGAGCTACTAGAAACTTAGATAATGAAAGAAACAATATATGACAGGGAATTCTGAAAGGTATCATGCCTTAGACTGTGCACGGCCTCTTTTGCTCCATCTGTTTACTGTATTTTGTTTCTGCTCCTGGGATCATGGCTATTTCTACTGTATCTGCATGGCTCTTTTTATACTTTAGTCTTTGTTCTTTCTCTTTAAAGGTCTGCTCTAAGGACTTTCTATTTTCCCTGATGTTACTTTGCTGTGTTTGTACCTTGGTTCTTTCCTTATTGCTTTTCTTTCTTTGTGATGTAACATCATGGCCCATGTTTCTTCTCTTCATCCTGCAGGATCCTTGATTATTTCCCTTTTCTCCTCTTTTTTCTTTTTTTATAATGTTGCCTCTATCCACATTTTTTCTTAGATGCCTTTTTAACTCTCCTCTCTTTTCCTGAAGAGTACCCATTACCCCTTTCACAGCTGTCCACAGTTACCATTCTTTCCTGTTATTTTCATTCCCTTTCATCAAGGATATGTAAAAGCAATGTGGTGTTACCATTTCCGTACATGGAAAAAAAAAACCCAATTTAATTTGAACTATAAGGAAGTTTACTGCCCTGCTGCCTGCACATTTCTCTATGTCTGGACTCTTCCCTCTCCACCTGCTGTTCACATTCCTCAGCTTCTGCACTGCTTTGGCTCTCAGATTTGCCCCTGTAACCTTCTCTTGCTACGAGGCAGCAAGTCCTGACATAGGACGCCCTCGCATGATGGGTAGTTAGCTGAAGATGGCAGAGACCCTGGCAGAGGAAAACCATAAAACACACTTCAGAAGACTGAAGATGAACTCTGCAGAAGGGAGAGATTTCTGTTTCTCCCCACTTCCGCTGAGGATACACCTCACCCAGCCAGCCAGGTGCTGCTGTACCTGCAGTGGCCAAGGCACACCGAGCACAGGTCTCAGCTGCTTCATGCTGAGCATGGATACAAAGTTGGATGTTGCTGGTTGACTTAAGAGCAGTTCACAGTAGCAGAACTGCAGATTTAGATAAAATTTTAAACAATGCTAAGTTTCGGTAGAAGAAAATGAAAATTTTCAGCCAAGCCCTGCTCCTGTCTGGCCTGGAAGGACCATAATGAAGACTTGGAAAGGCTTTTAGACTAGGAAAGGTCCTGGATGCTCAGCCCAGACTTGTGTCATGTCTAAATGAAGTCTTCCTCATCTGTTAAAAAATTTCCGGTATCCCTGGGTAGGCTGCTTCAGCGTTTCTTCACTACAACATCTGTTGATCCCCAGTTACCTAGATTAAATCTAATACTGCTTAAAAAGCCCATAATCTTCCCTACAGCAGAAAAGGAATCTCTTTGCGACCTTTTGTATATCAGATCACCACTGCCCTGCCTTTTCATCCCGACAAAACAAAACCCAACTTTTGTTGTTTTTTGTTTTTTGTTTTTTTTTTTTATCATGTTTTTTTAAATCATGTCTATTGTTCTTGTTTTCCTCTGGATTCTCTCCAGGCTGTACCTTCCTTAACGTGCAGTGCCCAAAATTGTATGCAGTAGCTTAATCAAGGCCTCTCCAGTGCCAAGAGGAGGAGAATTTCATTCTTTGATGGAAAACATACCCAGAATGGAAAATGCCCTTGTTTTACATGCAAAAGTATCACACCGTGGGCATCCGCTCTGTTTGAGCTGTGGTCAGAGCAGGGGGAACTACAGGCAGGCTTGCAGACTCGATGGAGCAAGTTGTTCGTGTACCTGCTAGTGATGGACACGGGGAACGTTACCAAGGGAAGGGGTCTTCATCTGCCCGATTCAGCAGCGTCAGGATGGACACGTCTGTTGGGAGTGCTAGTGGCAGGGGGTGCGCGTGTGGGGAAGTGAAATGTGGAGAAACTTGGCACAGCCAAACGGGTGCTGGCCAGGGTGGGGTGGGGTGATTTAGTAAGTTAGGGAGGCATTTAAGTTTAGGAGGCATTTTAGTCAGTGAAGATGCTGCCTGGAAAGTGTAAACAGCTGTTTCCATAGTTCCACTGTTTTACTTCTTGGAGGTAATAGAGAAGAGAAAGGGAAGGGGAAGGGGAAGCGAATGTTTTGACGGGTGCTCTCCTTTCTTGGAAAAAATAAACGAGATGCCTCAGGCAGCCTGGTTGGAAGACTTACGGGCGCAGGAGTACGAAGACGACGGAAAGTACTTCTCCAGCCACCAGAGCGTGAAAACCCGCGTAGGGACGCCGTTAAACGGCTCCCTGAACACGTCACCCGCACAGGCCGGTGCGTTTCCCATCAAACCGGGGCGAGAACTCGGGTGCCGGGCGGGAACCCGGCCCAGCGG